GTGCGATCAGGACTTTATGATGTGTCCTGGGGGTGGACACTCATTCGGTGACGACACATTCGGTGACGAAACATTCGGTGACGAAGCTTTCGGTGATGCAGCTTCTGTATATAATATCTTCTTGGCTTAGCAGAATATCAATAACGTGCAAAGCCGACCTTAAGTTGCCTAGCGTTGATTGTTGAAGATCCCTTGTCTGTGTATCGCGTTCTGTATTACGTACTGTTGATGTTCCGAATTACTCTCATCATAGTTTTCTTGTCTCCCCAATAGCAGAAAAGCATCTTTAAACGTCTCATGCAACCATGATGCTCTGGGTTTTCCTGGTCTTCTATACTCATGTCTTGTGACAAATGTGTATGGTTCGAAGATCACTTGTCTCATAGGGTCGTTATGGTTCGTTCGGAGTATATGGCCCAGCAGTTTAACTTTTCTTTTCTTCCATGTCGCAGAAAATTTTTCAATGTCCTTTTGATAAGTTGTCCGTAACATATCTAATACTTTCTGGTTGGTGTACGTGCGGTCTATATGAGTCGGAGGGATTTTGAGAATGCGTCTTATTCCCTTCATCTGGAATGAATTTATTTTAGATACGTCCGATGCAGTAAGCTGTATGCATTCTAACCCATAAAGTATTTTACTTTTCAATATAGACTCGAAGACTCTGATTTTCCATTGTATTGTATTTTGCGCCTTGTTCCAAAACAACTTAAGCCTGTTACATGTTGAAAGTGCATCCGCTATTCTGTTTTGAACCTCTCTGTGGTTGTTTACATCATCCGTTAATAAAGTTCCTAAGTACGTCGCATGATGTTTACGCGGAACAAGTGTGCCGTCAATGTACTTTATGCTGGATTGTTTTTGGTTAAGAGTAAGGTTGATACATTTGTCGTAGTTTAGTCGCATGTTGTAATAATCGGATTCTGATTGTATTTCATGCAACAGTTTGTTGATGGTGTGTGTGTGGGTGCCAAAGACTAGAGTATCGTCAGCATATAGTATCTCGGCAAATCGCATGCCTTTTATTGGTTCTTGCTGCTTCGGCGTATTCAGTTTTGTCTTTATGTCACGGAACATGGCAGACATTAGGATGGTAAACAGATATGGTGATAAAGGACATCCTTGTCTTATGCCAGAATGTTGTCTCCTATTTGCGGAATAATTTTCTTCTGCTCGTATCCTAAACTGAGGATCTTCATACATCTGTTCTACGAGTTTCAGCATTTTTGGTGGGGTTTTGATCCTGCGTAGAACCTGTAGCAACTTAGACTGACTTACTTTGTCAAACGCCTTTTCCCAATCTAATAAAATAATCGAGATATTGGAGTGTTGACGTTCTGCCATATCTAACAAACGTCGTGCCAAAAAAATAGCTTGTGCTGTTGATTTGCCAGGTCTAAAACCGTATTGAGTTTGTGTTATCCAAGGATCATAAGCAGCTATGAACCTTCCGCGGAGTAAACCTGCAAGGAGTTTATAAAAGACTTGTAGCAGTGCAATCGGTCTATAGTTTTGCATGCGAGTGGCGTCTCCTTTTTTATAAATAGCTGCAATGTTGGCGTGCTTGAAGGACTCTGGGTACTGCTCAGAGGTGATAATGTGGTTGTAGAACTTTAGCAGGGAGAGCCTGTTAGCTTCATCAAGCCATTTTACCAATTCTGCTCCGCATCCATCTGGACCTGGTGCTTTGTTGTTTTTCTGTGCGTTAATAACAACATCTAATTCCTGCATGCTGAACAAATCCGCTTGCATGGTGGACTCACCTTCTATTAGGAAATTAGTCTCTTTGGAGTGATCTAGATTATCATTCTGCGGTTGTGCCCATTGTACTTCAGCAAAGTATTTCGCTGCAGCTTCTGCAAAGTCTTTTTCTTTGATGAGATTGCCGTCTTTATCGCGGTATTTTATACGTTTTGGTTGAAATGTTTTCCTTGCTTTTTTTAATCCATCCCATTTGTATCCATCTCGATCTATTTCTTCCAGCTCCTGTACCAAGGATTTTTCCTTATCTATTCTGGCATGTTTTCGAATCTCTTTTTTGAGTGATTTAGCTTTTTCAACTTCTCCATTTTCAAGAGCGGTCTGTTTTTCTTCGATGAGTTGCCACGTTTTTTCTGTGAGGTAGTGTTTCTTCATGGATACAGGAATCTTTGTTAAACATTTGTCTGCTGCTTTTTGTAAAATATCTGAAAAACTTTCAAACGCTAGAGCAGGGTCCCAGGTTGGATTGGCTATTTCATCTTGTAATTGTCTTTGGACTTCTGAGTTGTAATTGGCTTGTTGTACGTTATTCGGTTGTCGATATTTGTTTGGCTGTTGCTTTAATCTCCAAGCTTTCTTTTTAGTTGCGAATTTCACTTTGAGATCTGCAATGATCAAGGCGTGATCGGAATCTAATAAGGTGGTCTGTATACTGTCAACATTTTGTATGGAGTTTTTCCATCTGTCGTTGATCATGATATAATCCATCTGCGCGTGAGTATCGGTATTGATATTGTGATTGCTGAACTGTTGGGTTGTTGGTCCTCTATAGGTAGCGAGTTTATGAATGGGTTTTTCAAACCATGTGTTCATTACGATGAAGTCATGTGTCAAGGCAAATTCAGTAAAAAGTTGGCGATTGTGCTTCTGAGTTTCACTTAGTTGCTCGATGTTAGATGCATCGTTTCTGTAAATGTGCTTTCCAATGCTACGATTTTCTCCCGGTAGTTGTTCCATAAGTCTCGCGTTAAAATCCCCCATAACAATGTTGATATCATGACGCTTCCACCCCGAAATTTGTTGAGTAAGAGAATCGTAATGTGCTGCTTTGTCCTGTTTTGAATGTCCCGCGTGTGGTGCGTGTGTTGCTAAGATGTTTAAACGGATCGGCACATCATTGATGCTTAATGAAATAATCTTGTTGTTTATTGCGGCAATCTCGATCTCCATATATGGACTACGCTTATAAACTATAGCACATCCAAGTTTCTCTGTTGATTTTTGTCTGATTCTCATCCTTTCTCGTTGTGCAATATCCGGTGGAATTTTGTCTTTTTTGACTTTATTATTATATTCATCTAATTGTGCGTCAACTTGCTTTCTCTTGTCATCATCGATATTACTTGTGAAATAGAAAGCATAGTTGTCATGAATCTCTTTTCCCGTGTAGTTTATGTGAGTTTCTTGCAATGCCAATATGTCAAGGTTGTGTTTTTCCATTAAGTAAAGAATTTGTTGTCTACCAGTAATGAAGTTCATGCCACGTACATTGAAAGTAGCTATTCGGATCGTTCGATTTATGGTTTTTGATTTGGTTGTCGGGGTGGTCGATGTCTTTGCTTCTTGTGTTTCACTATTCCCAGCTTCACGTTCGTTGTGCTGGTCGTTTACAAACTGGTTTTCCGATGATATATGCCTAAATCTTTCTTCGGCAAGGATTCTTTCTTGAGCCTCTGTGAGAGTGTATGGAAGCTTGGCCAGAGCCTTCCAACACTGCCTCGCCCTTCGGTATTCTCTCCTGTTTATACTTCTACGGTATCTTCTGCCACTTTTGTGGCTGATTATGGCAATTTGAGATCTTTTCCCTCGTTTGTGTGTGCGTTTTCCTGGGTGAGGCTTGGGTTCTGGACTCGTTTTGTTCGCGCTCCTTTCCTTAGAAGGTGGGCGCGTCTCCCGCCGTACCAACGGTTGGGGGGTAGAGTCGGGCAGCGTACTGTTAGGATTAGCAGTATGTTTATTCTCCAGGTATGCGTTAGTGTTATGATTATATCGGCTTTCAACGTAGAGACTAGTATTACAAGTACAAGTCATTCGGTGACGAGTCATTCGGTGACGAATCATTCGGTGACGAATCTTTCGGTGATGGACCACTTTATGCTCCACTTGCGTAACAACTTTGCTGTCATCACCTGCTACTCCCCGTTTATAATACCTGTAGCGCGCTTGGCAGTCCACTTTGTTTTCATCCCGCGCTTGTGTTGGAAGGCAACGTCCCTACAGGACCGTATCGGGCTCTAAGATGCGCTTGGCTATCTTGTTCAGATGTTCGTCGTACTTGGTTGGAAACTCTTCCTGTGCAATGGCCCTTACTTCGAAAAGAAACGGGGCTCTTGTCTTCAATGCTTGCGTTCCCATTCTCAAATATGAGCCTTTCCCTTCACTTCCTAAGCCTACGGCTTTCAGGAAATCCCCTGGCGTCAGTACTCCTTCCTGCTCGCTGCGCTTGCCCTTGCCCTTGTTGCCAATCACCTTGCGGCTCATGTTCGCGGAGTACGCGGCTTGGAATTCATCCTCAAACTGTCTCGCCGAAAACAACTTCTTGGCCACGTAGATTTTGGCAGTCCCGTGGAGGTGGTCTATGGCCACCCAGGCTAGGTAGTTCTCTGTGTCCTTCTCCTGGATTGTCAAATGTTTCCACGAATGCTTCCACTGGGTGCTTGGCGTAAGTTTGGAGATCACTGTCATAATGGCTTTCAGAGGTTCCGTCTGTAAGCGGTCAAAGGTGGAAATGCATGGCTCGAATTTGATGTAACCGTTGATGCCATCTCTGTTGTTGCCGCTCTGAAAAGTCTGGAGCTTGTCATTGTTCCATTCAGCGATCCCCTTCTTCTCACCGTTTTGCATGAACCATTCCATGATCTTCTGCCTATTTGCAAAGCTGCCCGCATCTACCATACTGAATGGCGATATGTTCCGTCCTTTGCGATGATCATAGCTAAACTTTTCAATGTCTTTGTCATGGACTCCAGCCTGCTTCGCAACCCATGAAATCATGGCCTCACGATGGTGGAAAAGGATTTGTGCATTCGCGTCATTGACCTCTACATACTGCCACCAGTTCTTCACCATGATCTTCCTGGCCGTTTCCCCTCTTTGTCGATCTACTTCATGGTATAGCAGAAACGCGAGTTGGTTTTGGGATGCCCTCATCTGATCTCGTAGGTCATGCATGTCCTCAATAAGGTCCTTGATCTCGTGTCCTTGTTGGTCCTTCATGTCTTCGTCAAGTCTTTTGGGTGCTACTTCTTCTTCTTCTTTGGCTTCATGTTCTTCACTGCGTCCTTTCTTTGCTTGTATTGGCGTATTGTTATGCGATCTGCTGTCGGGACTTCTTTTAGACGCCCCCGGCCCCCATTGTCGGGGGCCACTTTCATCCATTGCTGCTGGAGTTTGTCTATCTTCAACGCTGCCTGAACCCACACGGCTAGAACCCCTACTATAATCATAGTATTATGGGCACCAAAACCCTATTCAAAATCAAAGCTCCTCCAAGTCTTTGAAGTGGTCCATGGCACGACCGAACTCCTCGAGACACCAGGGATTGTTCTCGAGATCTGAGGTCAGAGTTTGGGGTTAAGGGTTCAGGGTTGTTTACAAGGGTATTGAAATTTAGGGCTTTGGGTCTGCCGAGTGTTTTGGAGTCTGATGTGTAAAGTTCAGAAATTGAAATTTAGGGCTTTGGGTCTGCAGGGTGTTTTGGAGTCTGATGCGTAAAGTTCAGAAATTTAATGGATTCCTTCACACCCTAGAACCCATGAGCCCTAAACCCTAGACCCTAAACCCTGAACCCTAAACCCTAAAGCCTAAAGCCTTGAACCCTAAAACCCCCAAGCCGTCCCGGGAAACGACAGAGGCCAAGCCTCGCTAGACCCTAAACCCTGAACCCTATAGATCCCTTTAAAGAGCCCTTTAAGGAAACCCTAGTTACTAAGTCCCATGATCCTTTAAGCAGAGGCCAGGCCTCGCACGTCAGCAGGCTTCCCAGCTTTTTGTGCAGGCGTTGGCGGACACGCCGCTTGACCTGCTCAGTGACTCCAACATCCCTTAATTAAGGAATAGGGATCTTACTATAGTTTAAGGTATATCCCTTTATTAAGGAGTATACCTTAAATCATATCAGGGATCTTACTCTAATTTAAGGTATATTCCTTAATTAAGGGATATTGGAGTCTTAGGCGAGCTCCGGCTGGGTAGAGCCCAAAGCCTGCAACGATATTGAAACCTATACCCTGACTCTGACACTCCACGAAAAAACAACAACACCCGAAAACCCTTGGGGGGTGACCTTCGCTAAAACCTTAAAGGAACCCTTAAAAGACCTCTACACCACAAGCCCTAAACCGTACCCTCAAGCCTTAAAGAAGGACCCTTAAAGGACCCCTAATGTCTACTCAAAGCTTCGGAATGGTAGCTACGGGGCTGTCGGGCTTAAGTCTTGGAATGTGGGAATTGAGAAGCTAAACCCTACTTCAAGGCCCAGGGGCTTAATAAGTAAGGTTATAAGTTAGAGGCTGCCCCCACCCTGTAATAGTGACATTAAGGATTATACTAGGGCCCTATTATTTTCCTATTATACCACTATTACAGGGTGGGGGCAGCTTCTAAGTTATAAGTTAGTATAGCCTGAGCCCCTAAGTAGACGCTAAACCTAAAGCCTGATCCTCCTCTGAGAACGCAGGCTCTCGCATGAGACATGAAGTTCGAAAACGAATTACATCCATCCATCGTTTCGCGAGCAGCAACCGCAATATCACCATCCGAAAGCTGCAGCAGTAGTTGTTCTTGCCATCGGAGTCAGGAACAGTAGGACTAGCAGGAGGAAGAGGAGGAGAAAGAGGAGGAGGAGGAGGAGGAGGAGGGGGAGGAGGAGCAGGAGTTGCAGACGCAAGCGCAATCAGAATCATCATCATCATCATCATCATCATGTCGTCATACAGAATCGCAGCCTACAGCGACACCAGCAACGACAACAACAACCATCAGCAGTACCGCTACAGCCATGACACAACAAGACCGCACCCGCAACTAAACACTCACAAAGCCCAGTACCCCTTAACTAAGCAATACATTGAAGCCCTAAAAACAAGTAATCTCGATCCCTTGTATAATCAAGGCGTGTTGAACTGTAGTAATAAAACTAATTACCCATATTCCTGAATTGAAGAGTCTTGGGAATCTTGTTTCGTCCCCTAAGCCTCTGCCAGGAACTACTTTCCAGGGATACCCTATTTGGCCCTTTTTCCAGAAAAACTATCGGTTAAGCTCCGGGAATTTCCCGTACCCCAACATGCTCAAAGGCTGCTAGCTAGCACAGAGGTTCGAATTATGAGTAAGCCATTGTACTTGAAGGCTCATGGGACTTAGTAATTAAGTGGGGTCGTAATTGGGGTTATAAGTGCCTAAGTTCTGTTCTTATAATAATCACCCTACTTCTAACCTTACTTACTAAGTCCCATGAGCCTTTAAGATGAGCCTTTAAGTAGCCTCTTTACAATATACCCCAAATCGCTATTCCTAGATGTTCAACTCTCCACAGCAAAATTCCTACTCAAACCCGACAACAACCCAAGACAAAAACTACGCAAACAGCCGAGTCCAAAAATGGTGTAAACAATGTGTGTGTGTGTGTGCATTATGTATAACATATATATATATATATGTATACATCGGTATATGCATATACATATATATACACACCTCTCTCTTAAAAGGAAAGTGCCAAGTTGCAGCACGGTTTGGCGCATCAGCACTCGCTGTGGCTGCCGAGACGAGGATCTCCTCCAGCTCCAGAAGCGTCGGGCTGTAAAGGGCTTTGGGCTTCTTGGGGGTTTAAAGGAAACTTCAGAAAGTTTCAATATGGTTTCAGGGTAGGATACCTTATAATTTACCATAAAGGGTGTAGGATAATCATATTCCAACTTTATGGCTTTTACTATAGGGCTTAGGAATTAATGTAGGAACCTGATTAAGAAAGCCTGGGCCTATAACTCCAAAAAAGTAGGATTCATACAAGGAACCCGAATAAAGGCCCAAGGTTTCTTAATCAGGTTCCTACACTAGGGCTTTCGGGTCTTAAAGGGCTTTAGGGTTTTAAACTGGGATTGTTGTGTGTGCCTTTCTTTGGGGGACTTTGGTAGGACGTCAGATTGTTGTACGTTTCTTTAAGGTCTTTGCGCATTGTAGCATGGGTGTACTTAGAATGTTTCCAGGGTTTACAGGGTGTTTGAAGGCTTTTGTAAGGCCTGAAATGAGGTGTAATGGCTCTTCAAACAAGTTTCTGTCAGGGTTTTGCACAGGGTTTGGGTTTAGACATGTCTTTTGGTATGTCTTGTCGGGTTTGTATAGAGTTTTATACGGGTTCATGCGATTTCGGGCCGTTCTAGAAGAGTTTGCAAGATCACGATTGACAAAGGTTCTGCATGCAAGGGTTTGAAAATGGAACCTCTCAGGGTTGCACCACGGGTTTAGGCTCTCATGGCTGCTTAGAGGGTTCCTCAAGGGTTCCATAGTAAGGGTGCATCAAGGCAATCGTTCTACACTACTTGGAGGAGCAGGGGACTTAGTAAGTAAGGTTATAAGTAGGTTATAATTAGGATAACCCCACTTAGGGGACTTATAACCCCAATTATAAGCTACTTACTAAGTCCCCTGTCCTTCCAAGTAGGGGCTGAAGGCTTTTAGGGCTTTCTGATTTCGGGCTTTCGGGGCTTGGGGTTAAGTAACGGCCAAGGCCCTAGACTTCACCAGAACCTTGAATCCCTAAACACTAAACCCCGAAACCTAGAAACCGAAAAACCAGCCCCGAAACCTTCAACTCGAAGAACGCAAAAAAAATATCCCGAAGCCACCAGATCATGATCTGCAAAAGCACAAAAATTCTCGAATGCATCTTATAGGAAGGCGTCATAGTCATGGCCTTACTGTAAACATTAAGGCCCCGATGCTTGAAAACAAGCTCCAAAAAAGCGTGACACCTTGACCCGCAGCCTGTAGAACCCAAGACCCCGTAAATGAGGAATATGGCTTGAACTCTACGTCTCAGGTTTCCAATCATGGCCTTGACCCTGCTGCCCACGGCAGATATAGTAGGGCTTCGGCACTCCCCGAACATGCCCACGCCCGAATCTCCAGGATTGGGGTCTTGGAAGCATTGTGTTGGGATGTAGACCCCTGACTGGCCCATAAACAAAAGGTGTTGTTAATCAGGGTATTATAGTATACTATGATCTACTGAATGTGATAAGCTATTAATAAGTTTTAACGTACCGTAGTAATAAACTAAATATATTGTGAACTAGATCACATAGTATATAAAAAAACCACAGAGTATGTTATATAACATACCATATCATGTACTATCGTATACTACATTATACAGTGTATAATGTACTAGATAAGAATCTGTGAAGGTACTGTATCATATTACCATCTTGTACCATATGCTACTAGGTTGGCCCTGAAAGCCTCTGGAAAACAATCGTAAACAGGGTCCTATTAATCGGAGGCCTCAAAAGGTGGGATGAAGGTAGGTAGGATTAAGGATCCCTTATATAAGGACTCCTATTTGGGAATAGCCCACCTACCTTCATCCCACCTCTTGAGGCCTCCGAATTAAGCCCAATGAGGGCAAAACGTAAAACATCCCAACGGCCTACCTAGGCTACACTCGGGCCCACAGTAACATACTGTATCATATACAATAGTTATCGTATACTTTATTATACAGTACGGTTTAGGGTTTAGGGTTTAGCACATTAAACTGTAAAGGTACTACATAACATTTCCATCTTACACACACTGGCTACACTCGGGCCCACAGCCTCAGCCCCAAGAAGGGTCCTCCAAGCTGGAATCCGAGAGCCGGCTCCTCCTTCCGTTCCGATCCGGGCTCTAGGGCCGGGGTTTAGGCTAGGATACGCAGTAACCTAAGAAAAAAAAGGCCTCTCTTTTTGGTATTGGGTAACTTTATAAGGAACCTAGGACTACAAAAAGGGAATAAGGGTACTACTGGGCATCCTAGTAGGGTTTAGGATTTAAAGGCTTCCTTTAAAAGTGGCCCTTAAGCGTTTAGGGTTTACGGGAGTTTTAAGGGTTTTTAAACGCCATTTAAGGGTTCCTTTAAGGGGCTTTAGGGGTTTAGGGTCTAAGCAGATTTTAAGAGTTCCTTTGACGGTCATTCAAGGGATCCTTTGAGGCCTAAACTGAGTTGCCAATTATAACCCTACTTATAGCCTCTAAGTCCCCTGCCCCTCCGATTAAGATTTGAGTTTAGGGTTTAGGATTTAGGATTTAGGATTTAGTTTAGGGTTTGGGCTTTTTTGTTTTGAGAGCCTGTTTCCTGACCGCAGAGGTTTGGAGAGCCGCAGGGGTTTAGGCTTTAGGGTTCAACTGCTTTTGGGTTTAAGGTTTAGGGTAAAAACCCCCGCTACGTCCTGGAAGAGCCTGTCTTGGCAGCACGCGGGACTTGAACGGTCGCGGCTGTGGCGCTTTCGATCTCGGCAACTCCCAGGCACATGGCGAAAGAGTCCTCGGAGGCTTTACCAAAACCATTGAACCCTAAACCCCTAAACCCTAAACCCCTAAACCCCTGAACCCTAAACCCCTAGGCCCCTAAACCCTGCGGGCTCTAGGCCTGGGGCTCAAGGCCCTTTCTGTTCAGATTTTGCAGGTTCGTGTCCCGGAATGGGTAGGGATCCTACTATAATTTACGGTATATTCCCTAATTAAGGATATTGGAGTCTCTAGGCACGATTTGTCTCGGTTGAGGGTTTGGGCTGTAGCGATCCCCCCTTTTGCGACGATACGGGCCTGGTTCGGGTATGTGCCATGCTAAACCTTCAACGCAAACTTGCTTGGAGACGTTCTCTGACCATGATCAGTATGCGCGATCATCTATATAATAATTACAAACGCTCATAAACATCTTGCTAACCCTACTTAGAGCATCCAAGTAGAGCCAACACCCAAATAGATCCTGTTCAGACACAGAGGCAACACCAAAGCAAGCTGCATGAAACGTAGAATATTGCGGGTGTCATGTCAACCATTGGAGTTGCAACTGATAGCCGTGGTCACTATGATCCATACTACCTCTATGATCACCGTGATCACTGTCACAGTTGCAATAGGTGTTCTAGGGCTGCTGCTACCAGGATCCTTTCCATGAATCTCTTGAGACAGTCTTGCTTCTTTCGGCACGCTCCCACATGTTGTACTTGTGGCGAGAAGTTGACAGGTCTGGCAAGGTTGTGACCGAAAGGGCTACCCTAATCATGCCTGTCATGATTGCTGTGACTAGTGACTGGTGCCGCCTTCATTAAACACTGCTCCTGCTTGGCTTTCCGCATACAACATGGTAGGCGCTGTTGTTGCTAACCTGGGCTTTCAAGTAACCAAGGAGATTATTGAAGTACAAACTTCAATTCGTCATGGATCCTTTAAGGATCAAGTCAAGACATGAGAAGAAACTATTGTACTCCAGAACCCTGTAACACATCATTCCTGCCGAGACTCTTCTTGGCACGCTTCGGGTACCGAAGAGATTCGGAGAAGTTCGAGCCACGCTTTTCAGTTCAGGCTGCGGGCAGACATCTTCGGCCATAATCGAGGGCCTAATTACCAATAAGAAGAAGATTAGGGTTTTGGAACATTTATTTTTACCAAAAGTACGAACAATAGAGTTAGGGAAGTAATTAAACTCAATTACAAAAAGTTGGCAATACAATTGTTCCACCTTAGGGCTCAGGGACACATACCTATGTGAACCATATTAATTTGTTCTAAGCTGGTTAAAGTTAGGGCTTCAGGGTTCGGGGTTTCCGGTTCAGGGTGAAGGAGCTTCAGGGCTTTAGTAGGGCTTTTGGGCCCAGTGTTCTTGGGTTGAGGCTTCAAAAGCCACTACTTGGAAGGGCAGGGGACTTAGTAAGTAGGTTATAAGTAGAGTTATAAGTACCCTAAATGGGTTACCCCAATTATAACCCTACTTATAACCTACTTACTAAGTCCCATGATCCTCTAAGTATCCCGGATGAAACCATCCAGAACCCCACAGGTCCTCCTCAACGCCCCAGAAAATCAGAAAATCCAAAAGAGCCCAAAATCTCGTAAACCCTTCATAAGTTAAAAAACGAAAGAACCTACAAAACCCCTTAATCCTATAGCGTCCTCATAGTCCCATCTATACCTTCCTTTTCCGCTCACATCTCGGAGAGTTTCTGATCTGAAAAACAGTCCGCGACCTCCCACGCGTGTTTACGGCTGAGGGCTGCTAGGGGTTTAAAGGTTTTTAGGCTTTAGGGGTTCAAACTCCAGAGTTTACCGTTAAGGGTTTAGTGGTTGTGGCTTAGGGGTTGTGAGCTTCGGATTCAGGGTTTAGTGTTTAGGAGTTTAGGCTTTAGGGTTTGGCGTTTGGGTTTGGGGTTGAGGGGTTGAGGAGTTTTAGCGGTTCGGGGTTTTCCTGGACCCTGAAGAACCTACCCTTTTAACGACCCATATAAGGAAATCACAGCAAGGAACGCTAAATGGTAGGTTATTCAGGGTTGCTTGGAGGATCAGGGGACTTGGTAAGTAAGGTTATAAGTGTACCCTAATTGGTGTTATAAGTAGTTCTAAGTATAGCTACCTTATTTATAACCCTAGTTACTAAGTCCCATGATCCTTTAAGTAGACCCTAAACCCTGAACCCTATAGATTCCTTTAAGGATCCCTATAGATCCCTTGAAAAGGAGCCCTTTAGGGAACCCTAGTTAGTAAGTCCCATGGTCCTTTAAGTAAGGTAGGGGTTTAGGAGCTTTGAGGCCTGGAGTCTCAAAACCCTCTGCGGGAAGGGCTCGGTATGTGATTTAAAGAAGCCACGTGTTTCACTGATGATATCAATCCTGCATGACATTAACGACCTAAACGATGGGAATTATGGTATATTCTATAATATGGGCAATGCAGGATTTCTATCATCAACCGTACGACCCCGCTGGTATTTATTAAGGCGGGAACCTTGCAGACTGACCTCTGAGGGTGGAGCGCTTCCCATTATAGAACCCCTAAAGGGACCCTTATTATAGAACCCTTAAAAAGGACCCCTATTATACCCTTCAAGGGAACCCTATGATAGAACCCTTAGAGGGACCTTATTATATAACCCCATGATACCACACCTGAACTTACTGCTCCCGGTGGGTCACGAACAATGACGACACTTTACTGTTTTGTTATTGGGGTTAAAGGTTAGGGTCTAGGGCTCTCTGTTCCAGGGTGTGTAGCGGTTGGGGTTTAGGGTCTGTTTAAGGTTCAGGAAGGCCGGAGCACTGAGAAACTCCCCTTGTAAGGTCTCTGGAATTGCGCATGGGCGCTTTCAGCACGGCTGTCCAGCAAGTTGCTGTCTCCCAGGATATTGGCTCAGCACTTTGGGATTCAGAACGTTTTTTTAGGGTTTAGCTGGGATTTCAGTTGGGAGCTGAGGGATGTAGGGTTTTGCCCTCTGGGCTGCTTTTGGGGTTCTCAACTCCAGCCCATGGACCTTGTAAAGTATGGTGGGCTCTCTTAGCCCTAAACCCTAAGCCTGAAAAAAAACCCAAAACCTGCACTGCAAAAGCTGCCACAGGAAGCAGAGCCTCCAAAAGACCCCCTGTAGAACTTTTACCCTTGCTTGTCATAGGTACCCTTACTCGGGTCCTTGAGTCTTTGACCCAGGGCAACCTGAAGTTGATCTAGGTTGGCCCCTTAAAGCCTCTGAAAAATATTCGTAAATAGGGTCCTACTAAACCCAATAAGGGAAAATACAAAATGTCCCAAAGGCCTACCTAGTGATATGCTTCACTACGTCTCAAGATCATAATTGCGGGGTTTAGGGTCTATATTTTTTAGGCTTCAGGTGTAGGGTTCAAGGTTGTAGGGCTTGAGGTTGAGGTCTACAGTTTGGGTGTTTAAGGCTTGAGGACTTAGGGCTTGAGGTGATCATGCCATGCCCTTCACAACCCTCAACACAAGAGTTCATCACCCAAGGTGCTTTAAGTCTTGAGGCTTTCAGGCAGTTTCGGGCTTAGGGTTTGGGCTTCAGGCCTTACGATTTAGAGTTTACGGTTTCGAAAGTTTCGGAATCAGTCGACGTTGAGCTTCTGGGGCCTTGAGTTTGGGGACACCACTTCTGACAACCTCAGGCAGCCTGGCACAGAAAATCTCTCTGGATTCGGAGGGCTCAGCCTTACGCGAGGCCTGCGTTAAAACAGTTCCGCTGAAGGATTTAAGTCAGCTTGCGGAACCTTGCAGTGGTCAAAGAACCGCACGGAGATATCACACTAGTGATCCCTGAACCCTAGACCCTACACCCCAAACCCTAAAACCTAGACCAAACATCCATGGATGCGTAGATGCGCAAGCCAGAGACATGTACCGAGCGCAAGAAGCAAGCATCGTAAAGCTCCTCATGGCGTAACGGCACCACCTTCAGCATGCGAATTCTGAAACACGTCTTGGGCGCGAAAGCCAGAGGCCAACGCTCCTTGAAAAATAGCCGCCTGAAGCCGACCATTTTTTGCCGCAACGGCCTTCAGAAATGAAGGATTCAAACTTAACGAGCGCGGGGAGAAGCTCAGCCGCAACTCAATGTAAGGGTCCTCGAAGGCACTGCTGCTGAATGGCAAAACCCAAAGTGCCCAATACTCCCGAAATACATATCGAGTGACGGAAGGCACCCTCTAGAATGCCTTAAACCCTGCACCTTAAAACCCATAGAAATATTTCTTGCATTCCTGGCTCTTTCCCTAAATCCTAAACCTGAAGAACAGTACTGGGCTCTTTGGGAGCTGCACAACGTCTTATTCGAGCCCCTTGGTCACCCCACTTGCCCTCATTGGTGGCGGTTTCGTTTTGGTTTAAGCGATGCTAGAGAAGCTGAGAGGAAGTAGTAGTAGTAGTAGTAGTAGTAGTAGTAGTAGTAGTAGTAGTAGTAGTAGTAGCAGTAGTAATAGCAGCAGCAGTAGTAGTAGTCGTAGTAGTAGTGGTAGTAGTAGTAGTAGCAGTAGTAGTAAAGAAAGTCACAATGGCCAACCGCTGAAAGAAGGGCAAACACGATCAGCAGACAAAGATGCAACAACCAACAGAACCACATTTCAACTGATGACTGTGATCATGCTGGTGGTGATGATCAGGAGAAGATGACGATGACAAAAATGCTGACATAGGGTGAGAATGCTGTGGTGCGATGATGTTGATGATGATGATGATGATGACGGTGATGATGATGATGATGATGATGGTTACTGTGCAGACAGTGTCATCAGCAGGATGATGATGATGATGATGATGATGATGATGAAACTGATAGCGAAATTAGCTGTTGGGGCAGGCCCGGATGAGACAAGGGCCAATCTCGAGTCCAAGCGTGCTTTCAGTGCCGACAACATGTGCTGAACATGTCTGCGGCCTTTCATACAGGTTGTCATCTTTCCAACATAACAATCTCCCCGGGTTGAGAGGGGCATAGACATGCAGTGTCCTGTGTTTCTGTTGTCGGTGGGCATCAAATAGATTAAGCGCCCTGGCCCCCATGCCTCTCCGGTTGGGTTACCAGCATGTGCATCTGCGTTGTTGTTAAAGAATTTACTTTAACATACCATAATAGGGATCAATAGTAAATAGTAAGCCATATTATTATGGTAGCTGAAATTAGATACTTTGACAAGAACCTTGCTTTGCAGTGTTGAGTCTTGAGTCTTGAAGGCGGAAACGGTTCGGCGGAAACGACAACGTTGGGCGGAAGCGGCATCGCGAAAGTGTGCAGCTGAAAGCCCTTCTGCAGTGGAGAGGGCTTGTGCAGCAAATCCATACCGCATGGACTTGCAGTTGTTCGTGGGCCTTAAACAACATGAACTTGCGCCTGGTGTAAAAACAAAGATGTGGTGGAAGCACGATTTCCCCTCAAAACACATGCAACAAACGCACGGCACCGTGCCGACAGCGGTTGCAAGCACACTAGACAAGGATACTAAGGAACATACTACAAGAGCTGTAGCCATATCATAACAACAATAACCATAATGATATATAAATACTATCAAAGCTGAGGCCTGTCTGCAAGCGCAGCAATTTGTTCAACAGTCATTCCTCGTGACTACCCTTGGCCTCGGCCCTCGAAGGTTCGGGGTGTAGGGATTAGGGTTTAGGGTTCGGGGGTTGGGTTAAGGGTTCAGGGTTTGGGGTTTATGGATTAGTGTTTAGGGTTCGGGTTTAGGGTTTAGGGATTAAGGTTTAGGGTTAAGAGAGTACAGTTCCGCAGTAACTGTTCATCGGGCAAGCAGGGTGAAGTTGGCAAACTTTGCACAACTCTCGAAGCCAAAACGGCTAGTTTTGAAACAACACCCGAGCATGGCGTCGAAAATCATCAGACAGACTTTAATGTCGGGCTGAGCTTCAGGCTCAGCGAACTGCCCCTTAACCGTTAACCTTCGAACCTTAAAGTTATGAGTGAATGACACAACCGTGTTTAAGGGCTTAGGCGTTTAGGGATTTGGGTTTAGGGTTTAGGGTTCAGGGCCCTAAACCCTAAAAAAACCCGGGGTTTTAAGATATAGCATCTACTGGCCATGCGTAAACTAACTCCAAACTATGATCTTCCAAGGCCCCTGAGCCTTCCCTGCACTGCTTGAATTCGGAGCCCTCAAGCCCCAATCCTACACCTAAAACCTGCTAAAACCCATAAACCCCAGACCCTGCAGACCCTGAACCCCCAAACCCTAAAACCCTAAAACTCTAAAAACACCAAGGTCAAAAGCTCTAAAAGCCTACGTCTCCTTTCAATGCTTCACCAAGGTTTTAGCATAACCCTTTAGCGATGTGACTGTCCTGAATACCTATGACCCAAACTCGAAAACTCTACAACACTAAACCTTCAACCCGAACCTCTAAACTCTGCACCCGAAAACCCCTGAACCCTAAAACCCTAAACCTCAGACCTAAAATCCCGATGGCGCCCTTACAATACCCTTACAGGAAAGAATCCTGATTATACCCTAAACGGACCCACGAGCCTTGAAGGAGCCCTTAAAGGACGCCCTCAAACGACAACTGAAAGGACCCCTTAAAGGAGTACCTGAACTGTTTTTAGAAAGCCCCTGCTCGGGTGCAGGAGGCCAAGGCCAGCTGAGCCTGGATTTCTTTAGCGTTGGCTTCGGGTTCATGGTTTAAGGGTCTAGGGCTTAGGGCACATAGGGTTCATGTTTAGCGTACATAGGGTCTAGGGTTCTAGGGCTTAGGGTTTAGGGTTTAAGCTTCTAAGGTTTACGGTTTAAGGCTCTGGGGGCTTAGGGTTTAGGGCTTAGGGTTTTTTAAGAACGACCAAGCTGCTGGCCTTTTCGCGGAAGAGCCATTACGGCTCTTTCCGAGCTATACAGGATGCTGCTCCAAGGCAGGAACGGCTGGAACTGAAACAGATCAGGGTCTTTGGGAATTAGGGTTCAAGGATCAAAGACGTGTAGGATCCAGGAATTACGGACGTTGAGGGTTTAGGACAAAAAATACTAGGGGCCTTGATAATTAGAATAGCGGGTCCATTATACTATAATTAGAAATGGGAACCCCGCAAAATAGTAGAGGTATTTATTTAGGCCCCTATGTTAGGGTTTCGGGAGTTTGGCCCCAGCTGGAATCAATCAGCAAGCACTGTCTGGCTGCTGAGTTCCATGTCGACTTCGGAACGGGCGAGCGTGGGCATGGCGCACGGGTTTCCTCGGAGGATTTTGAGTTTTGAGTGCTTTCACATCCAAAGAAAGCGAGAAAGTAAGCCCGAAGCTACAAAACACAACCGAGCTCTGACGTGTGAGGCTCCATGATCACAGGCAGATTTGCGCAGATCTTGATCGGAACTCCTAGGCATATCATTCTCTCACCATCAGCCACCCAGGTCAAAACTTCAACCACGGCGGACGACCAGGGGGTGGATGCTTTTGTAGATTTCCGTTCAATGTTCGTAACTTTTTGCTTATCGGCTTCCGTTCTGCAGCAAAGGAACCTCCTTCCGAGCGAATTGAGGCTTCGAATTAAGATTTTAGGGTTTAGGGTTTAGGGGTTTAGGGTTTAGGGGTTTAGGGTTTAGGGTTCAGGGTTTAGGATTTTGGGAGGTTGCCGGGTTGGGGTCGAGGTTTGAGAGTTGGGCTTGGAGGGTTTTAGGGTTCCTGGCTTCTGGTGATTTTATGATGGCAGGCCAAAAGGGGGGTTTAAGATTCTTGGGGTAGGGATTCCTTGTTATGAACCCTATTATGGGAACCCTAATCCCTACTAAACCCCCATAGGCTAAAACCTCTTTTGGCCTCCTCTGATTTTATGACATCAAGAAGACTCCTGCGCCCAGGTGTCAAACGGACCGTGAGCGGCGGCGATGGATGCGGCCGCCTGGGTTCTTGCTAAGGGATTTAATTTAAGTTCCCTACTCTTAAACCCTATAAGGGCCTATACCCTGAAAGGAACCCTTATCGATCCCTTAAAGGAACCCTTTATAGATCCCAATTATGGTAACTTACGTTAGATTCCTCAGCACAGCCCAGCTGCAGGTGTTGAATTGGATGAAGGTCCGCTCAACCGGCAGCTGCGACACCTCTGTGTGCTTCAGGGTTTTTGGGCTTCTGGGTTTAGGGTTGGGGATTGTGGGGGTTTAGGGTTTAGGGGTTTAGGGTTCGGGATTCCTTATGAGGGGTCCCTTTAAAGGGGGTTGGGGTTGAGGGTTTAAGGATTGATAGTATAGGGTATACCTACATGTCGAGTATCTTGGGGAACCAAAGGCTAACCTTTGGGAGTATATTGAGATCATGTGGGGATTACAGTACCCTAAAGAAGGTTAAAGGTTGTCTGTTCTACTAGGATAACAAGGGAGTCCAAGATTAAATAGTAGGATCCTTCAACTCAGCCTGAATCCGTGGTAGACACTTTCTAAGCCCTTATGTTCAACTCTTGTACAACCGAACGAAACCCTATAAAGCCTGAAGCAATGCTTAGACACAGCCCCACAAACCCTAAACCCCTAAACCCCAAACCACAACCATACGAAACCTTGTAAAAACCGCGAAACTGCCCATATCAGGCCTCATAAACGAACCCTGAACCCCGTAAACCATAAAACCCGTAAACCCTAAACCCCCTAAACCCCCTAAGCCTCTAAATTAGTAAACCCTGAACCCTAAATCGCAACCGTGCGAAACCCTGTAAAGCTGTTACAAAACCGTGAGACAACCCATGTAAAGCCTCATAAACGCTCTTCGTTCGGGATCCACCTCGTCGGACATGGCTCTCATCCACTGCACATCCGTGCTGAGATCGGAGTCCGACTCCTCCGTTCGGGCGCAGGGTTTAGGGCGTAGGGTTCGAGTTTGAGGGCTTAGGGTTTAGGGTTTGGGGTTTGAGGTTTAGGGTCTAGGGTGTAGGGTTCGGGGTTGAGGGCTTAGTACTTAGGGGTTTACGGTTCGGGGTTGGGGGTTCAGGGATTCAGGGTTTAGGGTTCGGGTTCTTGCGTGCCTAGGAGACTCCAAAAAAGGGTGCTCTCCTAAACCCGAAAACCCCAAACCCTGCATGTAAAACATAAACCTACACGCCGTAAACCCTAAACCTACCCTGAACCCTAAATCCTAAACCCGAAACCTACCCTAAACCCGGAAGCCATAATCTTCCTAAAACAAGACCCTCCCTGCACCCTAAACCCTAATTCCTAAAGCCTAAACGCTAACGATCTTCTCTGCGTTGTTGCTTTTGCAGCCCCAGGGTTGGCGGAGTCCCGGCTCCCTAGGGCACCTTAGAATCCCCACCATCAAGAACGTAGGGGTTTAGGGGTTAGGGTTTAGGGTTTTAGGGTTAGGGTTTAGGGTTTAGGGGTTAGGGTTTAGGGGTTAGGGTTTAGGGTAGGTTTAGGGTTTACAGCGTGTAATTTAGTTTTTGTATTTCCGGGTTTGTAGGTAACATTAGTATAGGGGCCTAAATAAATACCTATACTATTTTGGGTGTTCCTTTTTAGTTTTAGTATACTTGTCCCCAAAACCCTATTCTAATAATTTTTAAGCGTCTATACTAGGCACCGTTTAGATCTCCGGTAGATTCCTTCCTTTCCCTAAAGCCTAAACCCCTAACCCTAACCCCTAAACCCAAACCTACGCGCCGTAAGCCCTGGACCTACCCTAAACCCTAAACCCTAACCCTAAACCCTAACCCGCTCAAGCTAGGCCTGAAAACCCACATGAAATCCCTTGAATTCACGGCTGAGTTCTCCTGTAAGCCCTGTGAAAACTATTTACTAGTATGGTTCTCTACAAAATAGTAGGGGAAGTAACTCTAAAGACCTAAACCCTATGCCGTAAAGCCAAAAGCCCGAAACCCTAAACTAGGTGGGGCTTTTAAAGCTCCTGAAAAATAGTAATAAATAAGATCCTCTTAAACCCAATAAGCGAAAATATAAAATGGCCCAAAGCAGTACCTAGTAAACCCTCTTAATAAAGATCCCAAACTTGGAGGATCATGGGACTTAGTAAGTAAGGTTATAAGTACCTTAATTGGGGTTATAAGTGTAGTTACCCTAATTATAACCCCAGTTACTAAGTCCTAAGTAGACCCTAAACCCTAAACCCTATATATCCCTTTCAGGAACCCTATAGATCCCTTTAAGGTTACTAAGTCCCATGATCCTTTAAGAAGGGCAACCCAGACGGATTCAGCCAAAGGCCCTGAAACCCAAACCCGGCCTCCTCCGAGGCGGCCGGCTCGGGGCGTGCCTCCTGAAGCCATACATATACAGGGGTTTAGGGATGTTTAGGGGTTTAGGGGGGTTTGGGGTTTAGGGTTTAGGGGTTTAGGGGGGTTTTAGAGTTTGGGGTTTAGGGGTTTAGGGGGGTTTTAGAGTTTGGGGTTTAGGGGTTTAGGGGGGTTTTAGAGATTTAGGGGTTTAGGGGGGTTTTAGAGATTTAGGGGTTTAGGGCTTAGACTTTAGGGTTGCTCTTGTTAAGGCTTTCCGTTGGATGTTGTAAGGGCTATAAAGATGGTACTTGCGCTTTTGATCAGGTTGTTCAGAAGTGGTCATGCTTTTTGTATGGGGTCTGAATGTCCTCGAAGAGGGTTCAAAGGTATTTCATACAAGGGCCTCCCGAAGGTGCAGGACTCAAACTTGCTCAACTTTGACAGCGTCCAGGGCGAACCCTGAACCCCACCACTCTGGCCCCTGAACCCCAGACTAAAGCCTACCCAGAAAGCCAAAACCCTCTCACTTACGACTGTATCATGAGTCATGAGGAAGACCTCCGTAGAGCCTTGGCACACGCTTCGCAATAATCCGAAAAGCCCATGCCTCTCCCACCCTAAACCCTGAACCCAATGTCCGAGACTCCTAAATCTTGCGGGAACCTTGGAGGAACCCTTGAAGGACCTTGCAGCAGTCCAGCGCCAGCTCCGAATCCACAAAGCGTTCACAGGATGGTCGTTGCGAGCGAGGCTGCAGAAGACTGTGGTCCTGCGGTTGATGATATAAATCCTGCATTACCTTAAGGACCCTAAACTATGGGAATTATGGTATATTCCTTATTATGGGTCATGCAGGATTTATATCATCAACCGTGCCACGAAACTTGGAGGGTCGGGGGACTTAGTAAGTAGGTAGTAAGTAGACTTATAAGTTAATTGGGGTTATGGTACTTGTAAGTCCGTAAAATAACCAGTTACTAAGTCCCCCGACCCTCCAAGAACCCAGGCTGACCCGCGAGGATTTTGCAGTATTGTATACAGGGTTTACAAGCTTGCATCTAGTTCTATAAGGGTCTTGTGGGGCGTCATTTGGGCTTTACAGGTTGAGGCACGGACGTCACCACTTCTTAGAACCCAAACCCTAAACCCTAAACCCTAAACCCGAGCGTTTCACCTCCCGGCACTTGCACGGGAACCCTTCTTCAGGGAAAGCCTCAAACGATGCTCCGTTTAACCCTAAATTATAAACCTGACACCCTGAACCTGAAAATCATAAACCCTAAACCCTTACCTTAATCCCTAATCCCTAAACCCTAAACCCTAAACCCTCATCCCTAATCCCTGAACCCTAAACCCTAAATCATATACCCTAAACCCTAGACCTCAATCCCTAATCCCTTAACCCTACACCATAACCCTAAACCCTAATCCCTAATCCCTTACCCTAAACCCTAAATTGCAAACCTCAATCCCTAATTCCTCAACCCTAAACCTTAAACCATAACCCTTCACCCTAGACCCTTAACCCTAAACCCTAAACAAATCCCAGTCCAGGAGTCGCAGAGGTGGCACGCTGTTGCGAAAGCCACCCGGGAAGCGATGCGGCGTCGGAGCCTGAATGGGGGTTCAGGGTTTGGGGTTTCGAGCTTAGGGGTTCAGGGGTTTAGGGGTTTAGGGTTTAGGGGTTTAACGCTTCAGGGCTTTAGGGGTTTAGGGGCAAGTTCAGGGGTTTAGGGCTTTGAGTTTAGGGTTTGCGGCTTGCCTGTTAGGGTTCGAGGCTGGGGGTTCCGGGGTTAGGGTTTAGAGCTTACATTCCTATCAGCAGCCGTACAAAGGCACCACTCCTACCACCATCTACATACAGACGTACCATCACCATCAGCATCAAACTTGTTGCTGTTAAGGTTATCGTGCCATCATAAGACGAAATCAGAAACCTTGTAAACCTCACAAGCAGCATCGGAGATCATTGCTGACAGAGGTGGGACCACGGACAAGACCGGAAGCAACGGTCATTTCCTCCCGGTGTGCGGCCATTCTGAAAAGAAGCAAGAATGAGTCCTCTCCAAAGCCTACACCCTAAAACCTGAACCCAAACCCCAAACTCGAAAACTTGAACCCTGAACCAGAAGCCCTGAAAGTAAATGACAGGTGCCCTTGGAGCCGTATGACCTATTCTACAACATAACCCATGGAACAAGATAATATGGTATAGGATACTATGTATAGTGGAAAATCTCTCATCTTGCAATACGGAATGGTATGGTGTAGTAGATCATACTGAGGCGTTTTGCCTTCTATGTTGCTTTTGGGACATGTGACACAAAGCACGGAGCCTGCGAAAAGGCCTGCTTGTTGACAGGTGCGGGCTGCGGCGGCTGCGGCCGTAAGACCTCTCAGCACCAAGCGTTGAAGGACCAGTGTTTCAGGTGCAAGAATTCGCACTTGGGGTTAAAGTTTTGGGATTTAGAACATTAGAGAATAGGATTTCACATGTTGGGATCAAGGTAACAGCGCTTAGGGTTTAGATTTTAGGCTTGCAGCTTCAAGCGGATGACCACGGTGCAAGTTCAACCCTAAATCGCACACCCAGCCAAAAACAAAACACAAGCACACCTACGACCCCCACCCCCAAATCCTAAACCCCTACACTCAGCCCCTAAACCCTAAACCCGAACAACAAAACAGCTCAAGCCCTAAACTTCAGCCCTAGCCTGCATGGGTGTCGCAACGGGCACCAGCAGCACCGGCACAGAGGAAACCTCGGAACGGGGATCCCTTAGGGTGTAGGGCTTAGGGTTTAGGGTTTAGGGCTTAGGGATTAGGGTTTAGGGTTTAGGGTTTAGGGTTTAGGGTTTAGGGTTTAGGGTTTAGGGTTTAGGGCTTAGGGTGTAGGGCTTAGGGATTAGGGTTGCCCTTTCTTTCTGAGGGGTGTGAACTGCCGTATGAGTTTATGGTTGTGATGCCTTTGCTTCTTTGGGTTTGGGGTTTACGGCTTCTGAGGGCTTTAGTTGTTAGGCTGATGGCTTTTGAGGTTTAAGGTTTAGGACTTTTGGTACAAGCGTGTCTTTTGCTCTTGCATCCTGGCCTGGAACTTGAGGCTGTTTGGGATTTTGGGGTTTATTTAGGGAAGGGTGGTGCGTAGCAAAAGTCTAAGGGTCTATGATCCAAGGGTAAAAGGAGGGACCCTGAATAAGGACCCCTAGGTATATACCCTTAATATAGCTATTATATACCCATTATAAAGCCCATTATAGGGTAGGGGTCCCCATTAAGGGTCCCTCCTTTTCCCCTTTGATATGAGATAAGGATCCAAGCAGGTTCAAGGACCCAAGATCTCAAGATTCTTGGCCGCAACAGTCATAAACGAAACGGAGTGCCAACGCAATATGGTTGATGATATACATCCTGCATTACCCATAATAAGGAATACATGGGAATTATGGTCTGTTCCTTATTGTGGGTCATGCAGGATTTATATCATGAACAGGAATCAAGACTGGAAGCTTTGCTGGTTGCCAGGTCTAGGTTTGAAAGTGTCACGCCCTCTAAGACCCCTCTACGAGCAAAGCATAACTAACCGGTGGCTTTGGGGTTCCCTTGGCTCTTTAGCTCCTTATTTCGGAGGGACTATCATCATCCCCGGCTCTGTAGCTCCTCCAATATATATGGTTAGATAAACAAGAGCCACAGATCTTTGAAGGGTGAAGGGCACACTTCCTGGCCTTCCCGGTTCCAGGGTGTAAGCTTCTTTCGGATGTTCTGCTTGATAGTTGTCTATAGAACATCTTAGAAGGGAAAAGGCTTTGAGGTACATTTCACCAAGTTTGCCAGATGTGGTGAAGAGTGCACATTTTTTCGATCGAAGGTTCCTGGTTAGAAACGCTGTATCTCTGCACCCTCGAAAAAGTGTGCACTCTTCCACGAACTCCCCACCATAGCCCTGGTTGACTAGGGCTTTCTCGCCACCTTGGGCCTTTACTGGGTTCTTGTTAAGGGATTTAGTTTAAGTTACCATAATAGGGATCTATAGTGAATAATCGGGTCTCCGTTAAGTCCCTTAAAAAGAACCCAATTCCCTAAACCCTTTATAGAGATAGATCCCTTTAAGAGACCCTTACAGGATAAGTCCCATAACAAGAGCTTAGCTTAAGGTTTTGGGCTTTGGGCCTTCGGAGGAGTCTGGTGCTCCCGGGCTTTGGAGTTGATATAAACCCTGCATTACCTTAAGGACCCTAGGCTATAGGAATTATGGTATTGCAGGATTCATATCATGAACCGTAGTTGGTTTAGGGTCGAGGGTTCAGGGGTTAAGGGTTCAGAGATTCGGGGTTTAGGGTTGACGGGTGAGGGGTTCAGCGTTTGGGGTTTAGGGGTTTAAGACTTAGGGCTTAAAGGGTGTAGGGTTTGGCAGAAACACCCCCAAAACAAAGCCGCAAACTCCAGACCCCAAAGTACACACGCAGCAAACTTAACCCAACGACCCTGAACCGGAGATCCTCCACCCAACAGAAACCCAAAATACCAGACCCCTAAACTTTAGATAAACCCTAACCGTGGATAGACCAATCCATAATGAACCCTACACCCTAAACCCTGATAAACCCCTAAACCTGAAACCCCAAACCCTGAACTAAACCCTAAACCCTAAACTAAACCCCTAAACCCGGAACCCCAAACCCTAAACTAAACCCCTAAACCCAGAACCCCAAACCCTAAACTAAACCCCTAAACCCGGAACCCCAAACCCTGAACTAAACCCCTAAACCCTAAACCCTAAACCCCTAAATTCCTAGGAAAAAGCACCCCCACCCCCGGAACTTCCGGAACTCTTAGGCCGCCCGGCCCCGGCTCTGGGCAGCAGCTGCCCCCCGGTCCTGGGCTCCTCCGGCCGCCCGGGGTTCCCTTTAAGGGTCCATGGTAAGGGTGTAGGGTTTAGGGTTTAGAGTTTAGGGTTTAGGGTTTAGGGTTTAGGGTCTAGGTAAGGCCTTGGGGTTCAAATGGTACCATGGGGTTCCCTTTAAGGGTTCTATCTAAGGGTCCCTTTAAGGGTGCTCGGAAGGTTCTACCATATCGGTACCTTTAAGGGTCCATGGTACTATGGGGCTCTATAATAGGGTTCTTTTTACCTTTTTTAGGATTCTAGAATAAGGGTCCCTTTAGGGGTTCTATAGTAGGTGAACTAAGGTTGCCCCAAAAAGGAAAGTATGGGGGCCTTAATACCTATAATAAGGACTTAACAAGGCGGGGGTCTACCCCCCTACCCCCCCCCTCCTAAGGGTCCCTACTTGGAGGGTCGGGGGACTTAGTAAGTAGGTAGGAAGTAGACTTATAAGTACCCTAAAAGGGGCCCTAATTGGGATTATGGTACTTATAAGTCCAAAAAAAGCTACTAAGCCCCCCGACCCTCCAAGTAGTGGGGTTCCCTTTAACGGTACCATAGTGGTGTTTTATAATAAGGGTCACTTTAAAAGTTCTATCATAAGGCTGGGTACTATGGGGTTCTATAATAGGGGTCCCTTTAAGGGTACCCTGAAGGTTCTATCGTAGGGGTCCCTTTAAGGGTCCATGGTACCCTACGGTTCCGTTTAAGGCCTTGGAGTTCTATAGTAGGGTCCATGATACCATGGGGTTCCCTTTAAGGGTCCTATCATGGGGTTATATAATAAGGTCCCTTTAAGGGTTTTATCATAGGTTTCCCTTTAAGGGTATAATGGGGTTCTTTCATAGGGGTGATTTTAAGGGTTCTATCATAGGGTTCCCTTTAAGGATCCATGGCACCATGGGGTTCTATGTAGGGTACTATGGGGTTCTATAATAGTGGTCCCGTTAAGGGTTCTAAAGAAGGGTTCCCTTTAAGGGTCTATAGTAGGATACTATGGGGTTCTATAATAGGGTCCCTTTAGGGGTTCTATCATAGGGTTCCTTTTAAGGGTCCATGAAACCCTCGGGTTCCATTTAAGGGTTCTATCATGGAATCTCTTTTGGGGCACCATGGGGCTCTATAATGAGGTTCCCAATAAGGGTCCTATCATGGGGGTTCTATAATAAGTGTCCCTTTAAGGGTTCTATCACAGGGTTCCCTTTCAAGGTTCTATCATGGGGTTCTATAATAAGGGTTCCCTAAGGGTTCTATCATAGGGTTCCCTTCAAGGGTTCTATCATGGGGTTCTATAAATAGGGGTCCTCTAAGGATTCTATCATAGGGTTCCCTTTAAGGGTTCTATAGTGGTGTTCTATCATAGGACTGTAATGGGGTTCCCTTTACGGGTACTATGGGGTTCTATATGGGGTTCCTTTCCCAGACCTTCCAAAAGCCCTTAGTGAAGCAATATACCGTAATCTATAGTAGGATCCCGGATCCCGATTATGATTTAAGGTATATACCTGAACTAAGGGATTTTGGAATGTCTGGGTTGAAGGGTACTACGGTTGATGATATACATCCTGCACTACCGATCATAAGGAATATACCATTAATCCCATAGTCTAGGGGTCCTTAATTAAGGTCATGCAGGACTTGTATCATCAACCGTCTGGGGTTCTATAACAGGGTTCCCTCGAAGCGTACTTTGGGGTTCTATAATCGGTACCTTCAAAGGTACTATGGGGTTCTACAATAGGATTCGGGTTTGAGGCTTCCTTTAAGGGCTCTTCTTGAGTGCTCAGGGTGCCTTTAAGAGTTCCTTTTAAGGGTTCCTGTAAGGGTTCCTATACTCTTGGGGTTTGGCGAACGCGCACGTCGGGCATAAGGCTTTGGGTTAAGAGGTTAGGGCGGGGGTTGGAGTTTGGGGGTTTGGGTTTAGGGTTTTGGGTTTAGGATGGGGTTTAAGGTAAGTTAGACTTAAGGTTGAGGCTTTTGGATTTAGGCCCTTGAAACAAGCCCCAGGCCCCTTACAAGACCTGCTTTTTGTGCAGCGGTCCGGAATTCGGCAAAAGACACCTGAAAGCACCAGCTTCCCACAGCGGTGTAACTTCTGATTGACGATTTTGGATCTAGAGCCTGGAGTGTGCTTGAGGCTTGCTGATGACTTCACGGCTTCATGCACGGACAGCGACATTGAGAACCGTGCAGCAAGCTCCAAGCATTTTAAGGATGCAAAGTTTGGATTCTAGTGATGCGACACGCAGCTGTAAAGACCATCATTTCTACGGAAACTGCGTGGGTTCTCATTTTGCTTCGGCGATGCATTGCACGCACACCGCTGCTTGAAACGTGCGCGGCATGCTGAGGCATCACGAGAGGTATCCTCTGCCCAAGAACTGTAAGCAGAGGCCCCTGTCACCAAGAAGTTCCGTTGCTGGGACCTGTAGACGGTTGTACATGTCTCATCACCGCCATATCCTAAACCCTAAACCCATCACCTTTGCCTAAGGGTCCAAGTACCTGATTATCATATACTCTCCCAAATAGTAACCTACATAACTACCATCTCAAAACCTAAGTACCTAATTATTGGGTCCTTTGGACCCTTAGTGTTTCTTCGATATCTTAGACCCTACTCCAAGTACCGAACCCTTCATCGTTGTCCCGCGCGTCGGAAAATTCTGGTGAAAATCTGCCGCGCCGCGGTAGGGACGTGGCACTGTACCCAAAAGACAAGGCCATTCGGACCCCAGGCAGGATGAGTCGAGGGTTTAGGGCTCGACTTCTGAAAGCTGTTGGATACAGAATCATATACCCCCAAAACCCTCTTCTAATTCTGAAGGCCCCTATATCAAGTAGAAGATGCTGCTCCCTGCACGTTAGACCCAAACTCTACAAATCCAAAACCCCAAACTTTCAACCCTAAACCCTAAACTTTAAACCCTAAACCCTAAACCCCAAACCCTCCCCCTTGGAGGGCCCGGGGGACTTAGTAAGGGCTCTTAAAGGGCTCGCTTTGAAGGGGTCTGTAGGGCTCCTGGGCAGTAGGTTATAAGTAGAGCAATAAGTACGCTAAATGGAGTTACACCAATTATAACCCTACTTATAACCTACTTACTAAGTCCCCTGCCCCTCCAAGTAAGCCTGAAATGCAAACCCGACGGACCTCAGACCCCCAAACCCTAAAGCCCTAAACCTTAAACCCGCCTCAGTGCAGTGGAAGAAAGAAAGAAACCTTAAACCCCAAAATGCAGCCTCAAGCCCTAAACCCCGGACCCACAAAAGCCCTAACCTCTGTGCTTTGGAGGCTTAGGACACTTCAGCCAGTGGCTTGGACCATGTTCGGAAGGCCAGGAAGGCGGGAACTAGCCTCACGGTTTAGGGTTTAGGGGTTTAGGGGTTTTAGGGTTTAGGGCGTCTTGATGGCTAGCGCTGGCTAGAGGTTCTGTGGCCTTAAACAGGAAGAATTTGCTTCTTTGGTCTACTGGGTTTCCACGAATGTTTTGGGGTTTAGGGGTTTAGGGCTTAGGGTTTAGGGTTTAGTTTCAACGAATGTGTTGGGGTTTAGGGTTTAGGGTCTACTGGGTTTCAAAGGATTTTCGGGTGCAGGGTTTCGGCCTTTTGGGTTCCCTGAGTTTAAGGTTTACAGTCCAGGAGTTTAGGGTTTACCTTAGGTACGGCCCCCATACAGTAAGAGTCTATAATAGGGCTACTATTAAGGTCGTACTATATCTATATTATGAATATTATTCAACTATTACAGGGTGGGGGCAGCTTCTAAGGTTTACGCGTACTCATGTTATCATAAACACGGGAAGTCAACAATACTCGTCAGTAGCTCGATATAGTACTCGACAAAACCCGAATGCAAACGTACATCACATCATCGTCGTCGTCATGATCATCATCATCCACATCAAAATCGGTTTGGGGAGGAAGGTTGCGCGTTTTTTGGCAGACATCGACACCGGCACACACTGAGCCCGCGGCATAGTTCCTGCGAAGAGGCTCGCACCGGCAATCGCATTCTCGACGAACCGAAGACAAACATACCTCGGCCGCGCCGTTGCTTGAAGGGCTCAAGGGACTTAGGAGGCCCTGAGTGCCCCAAGTGGGGTCATCCCACATAAAACTTAGTAATGACCTTACCAGCTAAATCCACTTGGCCTTGAAGTCCGGTTTCCTAACCCAAACATAACCCCAAGCCCCCAGAACCCGAAGAAGAATCCTCAGGCCCCTTTCCTTGTCTGAAGTCAAGGGCGCATGTAGCCGACGCCGCCGGCCAAGGACAACACCTGGCTCAGGCAGGGCTTAGCCTGAGTATGTAGGGTTTCGGGTTTCAAGTTTAGGGTTTCGGGTTTAGTCTTTTGAGGTGTTGGCATCGGCTCGGTGTTACGGAGGCCCTGGGTACTGAATATAGGCCTGCTCCGAACAGTCAGATGGCATGAGGAGTTTTCCAACAAGAAAGACTCCTCACATAATATGATCTAACATGACAAATATCATATCATGTAATCTCCTTAACGTTCCCAGGCCTTTGTGGCAATGCGGTCGAAAGGTCTAGGGCTTCGGGCTTGGTTGCCACGTCGTGTTAAGGAGATGGCATCTGCACGTGCTTGGAGCTGTTCTGTTCAGGACCAAGGACAAGCCAGACCACGAAGTGCCTACGGTTGATGATATGAATCCTGCACTACCTTGAGGACCCTAAACTATGGGAATTATGGTATAATCCTTATTATGGGTCATGCAGGATTTATATCATCAACCGCTACCTGCAAGTGTTGAGGGCTTGGGGGGGGATTAGGATGGATTAGGCTTCGAGGGCGAGTGCCCCTCATGGGTCTAAATAGACTGTCGTCTTCGAAGGTTGGCGTCCTTTGATGCCTAGTCCCAAAGACTCCAAAGCACCAAAATACTTAAACCCAAAAGGTCTCCAGCAGGGAACTGCGCGTTTTGCTATCATCTGTGCCATGGCTGTGGCATCACCATCACCACTGCTACGGTTGATGATATAAATC